CGAAATCAGTTTTGTTTCACAAATTACATTTTTGTTCTAAACCATTTTATCAAACAAATACTGTAGGGAACATACGTTAACAGCGTTGCTCGTATTTGCTTGAAATACTGGGGAAAAATAGGTTAAGTCTGCCTTAATAACAGTATGTAGATTGGTTAAAGTCGAATAAATGATGGGCGTTATGTGATGTGTGTCAACACGGACGACCAAGGAAATGGCTTTTGTGCTTATTTCTTACAAGAGACAAAACTTGAAAGCTTGCCAGATAAAGGCAAGATTTAGACTAATCACCCATTTTTCCTCCGCTGTGAATAATAGGTAATCATCACTTAGTGAAAACAGAGACCCACTAAGTATAATGGTAACACGAAAATAGTAGCTAGGGTTATTTTTGATCTGTAATTGCCAGGCATTGTAACATCATTCTGTAAGTAGAATGTAAAAGATAAAAGGCATTTATTGTGGGGAGTTTTATCTTTAGAAACGCACATATCAATGCGCAAGCTTCCGTATCACATGACGCAAGGGGAATTCAGCGATAATTTTGAGGATTAAATAGAAATAATGATACAAAAAGATTAAAGGCCATTTGCAGGACATTGATATACATCTTTTATAGATATGTAACTGACTTTCTTGAATATTTTACCAAAATCTGTGAAACACCTTTTGAGATTCCTTGACCACTCACTCCCTATCTCTGATCGCCAGGAAAACGTTGGCGGAACATGACGTCACAGGACATTTAAAGACAGATATAAAGACCGCAAAGTAGCGACATCATGATGTACGCGTACCGTATGCGTGCGGCGATGATCAAAGTGATGTATGCTTCTATTATTGGCTTTGGTGCAGGAAATTGGTTCCCTGTTACATTTTTAAATCGAATTGTTATCATGAGCGTCTGCTGCAGGCTGGCAGTATTAATCTGCCGTTGTGGCCGGTTCTTGTACTCGTGCCAGGCATCAATCTTGTCGAGGAAGCATGTCGACGTGTAGTGGGGAAATTGCTGTTCATCAATTTGTTGCGGACATTTTTCGAGCGGAAATTCCTTCACTGAAGACTCGTTATTTCCTTGACTTCTTGATGGTCATTTGTTATTTTGATATATCCGAAAACGACTGCCGTTAACCCCATGAAAACATGAAGTATGTGCTCGTTAATACATGTAATATTGCAAACAATGACCCAGACGATACGTACGATAAAATAGGCCCGTAGAAGGGGAGGGGGAGGTGGCAGGAGGGCGAAAGACTTTTGGTCGAACTAAACAACATAAAAGGCGAAGCTACCTTCTAACATCTCTAAACCTTCTGAACAGCACTGGCAGATCAGGTCTTTGCTAATGGGTTGGGGGGGGGGGGGGCAATTTAAAAGAGACCCGCTTCAAAAATATAAAACAGTCGACGAGGACAGTTTTTCTGTTATACTAGTAAGAAGAGGACACAATGTGACAACGTTTCTTTAACACGTTTACCCGTTTTCTTTAACGTTTATTTTGAATTTAATTTGATCTTCCTGGACATATTTTGTGTGAATATTTTGGCGTATAATATTTATTTATCTCATTAATCTGTACACTTTCAACCTTTCGGTTGCATTGTCTTAAATAAACTATATTATTATTATTATTATTATTATTATTATTATTATTATTATTATTATTATTATTATTATTATTATTGAAAGGGGTGTCACCAAGGATAGTATGAGGGGACTGGATGGTAGGGGGGGGGGATGCACGCGACGGAGGTATCTCACCCCACCCCCTCCAAACTGCAATTGCACAATGATATTCTGAATTCCTTCGTGTCAGCACCGCCCTACAACGTGCACCAACAATTTGAAAGCCCACCATTTGTCTTAGTTTTATGGTTAAAATAAGATCAGACTTAAGTCTGCGTCATTGCCCAACCGCAGCGACTCGAAACCTTCATAAAATTCCTGGAAGACAAATGACATTTATGCGCGATGTCGAAACAACATGAGTAGTATCTTCCCATGGCCTCTTTAGCAAAGTTTCAAAGTGAAGGGATTTTGTGTTAAATTAAAATGTTTTTCGATAATGGCATGTTTGAGATTTGCAGTGTCTCCGTTTTCGTTTCTACTCTTTGAATGAAAAAATATACATATAGTATAATGGAGTTACAATTAGGGCAATGAATTAATAATGAATACAAAATAATAACATAAATACATAAAAGAATATATAAAAAAGAACAAAATTGTAAATAGATAGACTAAAAGGGTTTATCACCAGTTAGTTGATCAAGATTAAGTCTTAAGTGGTTGGATTCAAGAGAATTCTGAAAGCCAGGTTACCGGTCGGTTTATGACATAATGCACTTCATTTCTCATTGGCCTGTAAAATGAGTGACAGTTGTAACATTTTGAAATGTAAGCATGCAACACGGTGCCACATTACACTGTTTTAAAGTAGAATGAATAGTACAGAGACATAAGAAAGATGAGAGGCGTTGTCTCTGAATATCGTGCATCTCAAATAAAACTAATATAGTCGCGCACGGCTGCTCAAACGGCTGGAACTTTAGAACCAAAACACGAAGAACTGTAGGTCGCTTCATATTTCTGCTTTTTTATAGTTACAAAAAGCTATCGCTCCGAGCTTCGGCGGAAAATCCGAATCTGGGTCCAGTTTCTCAAAAGAGATATGCCTGAAATTTGATCTAAACTTTTCTACTTATAATTTAGTCTACTTCAACTGTTCATGACAAAAAACTTTTAATATCAAAATATTCCAATTAAATAAAGGAAGTGCCAGTCTGGAACATAAGCCATGTCTTTCTGTTATAAAACATACGCAATATTTCATATTTAGATTATTTCTTATAAACGTTTGGTCAAAGTGGGCTAAAATATTGTTATTAAACTTTAGACCACTTTTTGAACCAATTTCTTTACTGAACCAAAACCCCTGAGTTGAGATATCATCTAAAACTAGGAATGCCTTTCCACCTTTGAGCTCTATTTGCGGCTTAAGACCATTCCTAATTGAAAAAGAAAATTCAGATTACAAGATTTATCACTCCGACTGTTTAATCAATATTTTCCTTCCATCTACATTAGGGAAGTCACTTTCATTGTTGTTGAAATTTGTCGTCGATTAAATGGCAGAAGATTTGGAATTGATCTCGTTCATCATGGCGGGTGGAGAGACCCAACGAATTAAACGTAATAGAAGGGGGGTCAATTCCCTTTTTTGTCACCCATTATTGTCGCGACATGTGGACCTTTTTTACCGTGAAAATTACGTTTTTAAAAATCGGATAGAACCTACAAGTAGATCCAAATTAGATTCAGTGTGGACCTTTTCCCAGCCAAAATGGCGGTTCTTTCGAAATCCGAACCCCTCTTGCCTACGAGCCTGCTTCGGCTTTTGCAAAAAATCCACAACTGGCACAATTTTTAGACCATTTTTTTCTGTGTTTTGCAGCCGTTTTGCATTGTTGAAGACCAGAAGACAGAAAATTATGTAGGGATACGCAAATCATGTCCCTAGACTAATGAACTGAAAGGAAGTAAAACACAATGGATGTTGAAAATTGATATCGTTCATAGAAAACGTATATTTCAAACCGATGATTTTTTTTTTGCAAAATTTGCCCGGCACTACCGAATTACGTAAAGATGCGCTATTTATATACTTTAATTTCCTACATTTGATGTGCAGCTGTTACAATGACGTTGTGGTTCGACTTTTTGTTCTCTTCATACTTACGCAAAATTTCAGTGCAGTTTGGAGGATCTGTCATTTGGCACACAGACCCAATTCCACTAATAACATGGATAATTGCCTCTAATGTTACAATCCTCATTTATTATACGCATTTCTTCAAGCTCCATTCTCATTGCCGTCTGTTGATAAACAGGAAACGTGAGTGAAAATTAAATTTCCATCCAGGGGCTCTCAAGGCACCTACATGTTTGCTGTAGAAATAATTTACGCCAGTGATGGCGGTAGAGTTTTCATGTATGTTTTCTTGTTTGTGGATAAGATATCTGAAGGAGATCATCAGAAATGTTGATGAAAAAGAAGACGGGATGGTCAACCGAAGCAGACGGGATGGTCAACCGAAGCAGATGACCTAATGTTTTGAAATAAATATGTTATTCTATTGCAAGTTTTTATCGTTCGCCTTTGCTGTCAAACTGCAGTTCAGAATGTATTATAATAATTCAATTATTTGGATAGCATGTTATGTGTAGATTCATGTAATCAAGATTGCAAAAATGGTATATAAATTATGGTATAACTGTGTGTGTGAGTGTGGATGTGCGTGTGTGCGTGTGTGTGTGCTCGAGCGTGTGCACACATAAAGTGGGTACCGAATGCAAAGATTGGTTTGCAAATAGTGCTTAGATCCCGGCGTTTTCTCACTCTTACTGCATGTGCATGCCTTTAAATTTATAATACTTAAACCGTATAGGTGTTTTGGCGCAGTTTTGTATAAGATAAGAGTGTTTGTTGCCTTTTTATTCCATTTTTATCAATTCATTCATTATAGTGTCTTGTGAGTCAAGTTACCCAGCCCTTCGTGATTATAAGAAAAATTGCAAATTGCACAGGTACTTCTGTTTTATCTTATGAGTTGTACGTATGAATCTAGGCTTACCTAAGTGAGTCAACGTGATATTTTAAGGACATGAACTTTAAACACGGTTGTACACTCGTGCCTAATTAGGCATAGGCCTACCAGTCCTTTCATGAAAGTGCAATCATTATAGTCTTTACATGCAGTGTGCTGTAGTAAAATTGTGGTTCATTCTCAAACCCATCTTGACAAAGACAAAGTTGTTATCCATTCCAAACTACGCATAGGCCTATATTTATAACATTTTCCTAAGAAACAGTTTAAGGGGACTTTATTTTTTCTTTCACAAAATGTTTATTTTTTTTTATCTGATATTATCTAGTAAACAGTGTCTTGTTCTTTTTAAAAGCATTCTGACAATTTTTTCCAAATCTTTCATCTTTCCAGTTTGGTCCAGGTCGTGGCGTAGAGACAGTCTCCATTACCACCGCTCCGTGATCACAAACGGCTCCTTCGCCACCCGTCGCCATGACTCCACCGGAAGCGGAAACGTGAAGCAGACGAACGGAAAGGTGCTTTATCGACGCGAGACACAGTCTATCATTCTTGCGCAGTGAGAATAATTGGATTAAATGTGACTGGTTTTAGGCCCTATTTTCCAAACGTTTAATTTTTGGATTGTCGTGCGATATTCTTTCTTCTCAAGAAGGCCAATGGGAAAAAAATCTCAAAAAGTGTGTAATTTGTATTCCTAAATCCTATAATAGGCCTATTCAAAATTCTGCATGCTTCTACTCTACAAGTAAAGCATTCAAGAGGACAATTAGGATTTATTCATCTTAAAAGATTGTAATTTATTTCGGTATCATCTTTCATTTGAACAAGGAAGTTGTTAAAAACGCCATGGAACTAGACGCCAATGCAGCGCCTTTTTAAATCAAGGAAAAATAGAACACGTAATGCTAAAACCCCACGCTTTTATTTTCTTGACTGCACTTATTACTTTTTTCATTGGTACATTTGACATTTAGAAAACACTCACAAATGTCATGAGGACATTAGTACCAAAGCATTCAGAATAAATATATTTCTTCGAGCTTTGCATAAAACCGTTGTCACATCAACGTAGATAATTAAAAAGAAAGCGACAAATAAGCCTTTCTTTAATAGAGTAAATAATCTAATTTTTCTCATAACCACTTTCACGTTTGATGAATACTGGGTTATATTTATTTTTACACGATATAACTGGATGCTATCTCTTTTCTTTAATCGTTAACTCTCCATGTTTATATAAAAAAAATAAAAACTAACTAAATATTTTTCTACCTCTCCATGTTACACCACTTAGAACACGTACAAGACATTTGCCAAATGTGTATGAAAAAGGTATACATTTTAAGGGGGTTGATAATTTTTCACAGGACAATATTGTATCCAAGATTTCACGGATACTGTATCTGTTTTTTACAGTCTTGTTCAGAACAAGGTATATTTTAATTTATTAAAATATTCAATTCATTATTTAAAGGATAAGTAGGTTCGTAGTGTCACATTTTATGCTTTCTCTTTCGTAAAGCACCTGTTCTTGTAAAATTACGTCACAAGAATGAAATGTTGTTCTTATTTTGTATGGAAAGTACTAGCGCTGTAGCAGGCCGTATAAATGCTGGTAAGACTTACATATTATTGAAAGAAGCTATTTCGCAATTGAAATGCTCATCAAGTAATTTAGGGTGTCTTTTTCAAACTGTTATGACAGATTTATCAGTGATGGCGGGGTTTTATATTTACATTTTTCTAATTAAATTGCGTATCTTTGAGCCGCAAGCTGCCGAAAGTGGAGATTATGATAGATCCATTTCAAGTAATTGTTCTCAGTTGACGTAACAAAAAAGTTCTGTTTCAATAAACAGGGAGTTAGATTTATAGGCCTTTTGTGCAACGCAACTAATAAAGTCTGATTGTTTTATCATGGCAAATTGAAGTCACATAATTGTTTTTCGATGCATAAAAATTTTGATAAAAGATAGCAATTAGAGTACTAAGCTTTTAAAATATAGAAATATACTTGAATTAAAAACAATATTTTTTCGTTCTTCATAAGATATAGGCTATTTTTGTTGTAAGTTTTAAAAGGTAAAGATATTGGTCTGTGTATATATGTTTGATTACTTAGAACAGGGGCAATTTAAGTATATATTTATATATAACATCACACCAAAGACAGTTTTAGACAGTGATAATGTGATGACGTGTGAAGGGAATGTTTTTGCTATCATGAAAGGGAACTGTTGTAAATAAAATGATACAAAATATGCATAGACTTTTGTCCTGTTTTTCATTTGTTTTTCTTTCAGATTTCAACTTGTGCCTTATATTTCATTTGATCTATCTAGCTATTTACCTATCTATCTATCTACAGTATCTATCTATCTATCTATCTATCTATCTATCTATCTATCTACTTCTTCATTTATTCGTTTATTTTTGTTTGAGTTGTGTTTAAAAAAACCACGTTAAGTCCTTGATTTTATCACGTTGTACACCAATATCAGCAATACATCTAAATCTTACAGAATCTGACCACGCTCAAGAGAAAATGTCTATAAGGAAAATGCAAGCAGCTCTCAAATGTTTATATGTATTTAAGAACAACCACGGTGGCTCAGTCATAAGTCTGTCGTCCAAACTACCGCATTTTAACTCATGTTATGCCCTTTTTAAGGGAGGACGGGGGAGCATGGGGGGGGGGGGGGGCAAAAATATTGCATAAGGCCCCAAATCAGCTGCAGCGCAATGGTTGTCTCAACTACCGCAATTTTATTCTTTTCCTGGCGATTGGCCTAAGTGAGTTTTTCTCATCTGATGCAATTCCTTTAAGAAACTATGTTATAACCCGTTGTGCATCTCAAATAACATGTCGGCAGTAACACGTATTTATGTTAATAATTAAAAGTTATTAAAAGTATTTAAGTTATTATAATCGTCGCCAATACCATTGTGATTATCATAATCTCTAAAGTGTCTCATGAAATATTTTATTACTATTAAAAGAGAATATTTAGGGGTCACTGATTTTGACATTGTGGAAGTTGTTGTCAATTCATTTTTTCATTATATTTTGCTTTTCACCAAATGACTGCCTTATTAAATTATTTTATGAATGACAAATGCCATTTTCATAGCAATGTATTATATTTTGTGAGCTGTAACTGAAAAGGTTATAATTAAAGTTCAATATCTACCTTTAAAAGGATAATAACTGCTTACTTTGGCCAAAAAATTAACTTTCCTGGGGTAAACGACAATTTTCCCATACTTACCAATGGTTAATGAATCCCTTTCTACGTTCAAAGTAAGTCCATGGCTTTTAAAAATTTTTTTGTCTTTTTTTTTTTTGCAATAATGTCTAATGACAAGCACAGATTTCAGAATAATTAATATAACTGCCGTTTTTGTGGTAAAATACAATATATTATATATTTGGGAGTTTTTTTACGATGTATTTATTGTGAAATACAGATCTCATATGAAGAGTTGTTATCCCTTTAAGTATTGAACGACTGAGCCTGAAAATGTTCTTAAAAATAATTTTATTCAAGCAAGCCACACTGTTTAGAACAATGAAACAATATACTCTTTCATCTGCTATGTGCTACCTGTATAATTTCCTTCTATACAAAATACAAACAACATTCAAGACTTTCAGCCTTAACAATATTGGTTGAAAAAATAATAAAATTATTTCTATATGTATACACTGAGTGAGCCTACAATACAGTTGTAATTAATGAGATCATACTACAAATATAAGTGCTTAAATTTCATATGATTTTAAAGTACTAATACTATTCTGAGTATTGATTCTATTCTCATACTACCCCCCTCTCCAACTACAACACTGGAGAAAATATTTAAAATTAAATAAATATGAACAATATATAATGGGAAAATATCTTTCTCTTATGGCATTTTTTATCATTAAGAATGAGAATAATATGTTCATTAGCCACATGCATATCATACATGTAAGCAACATACTGTATAATACAAGGCACTTGTTATTGGATTCAAGATTCTGAGGATCAGTTGAATCTTTTACATATATTAGACACAAAGCAGGAACTGGGGGCCATCTATTTTATCCTGAAAGTACAACTCCACTGACATGAGGTTTTACTGTGATTACAAGCATGCATAAAACACTCAAAAGATTACTTTCCTGGTCTGCACTTTGCCCATTTCAGCCCAGTAAGACTAGCAGACCTCAGACAATTTTAAGTCTGAATCAAAATTAACTCGTATGTAATTGAAATCCATAGATAATAGAAAAGCAACTGCTGAAATTTTTCTCTTGTCCAAAAGAGCTAGGAACTTATCACTTATGATTTTATTAGTTTAAAGGCGTCATCTTGAATAGGACCAATTGCTTACATGGCAGATTGCTTTCCCCAACTGTATCATGAGTTGAGCCATAAAATATTCTACTGACACTGCACCCCTTAAAAATAAAAATTAAACATTACATAGAGTTAAAGGGGTATATTCATGCCATATAAGGTCTTCAATTTAAAATGAGTCTGAGTTCAACAGCTTGAAATTAAAAAATATCCTGGTTCATTTTTCTCCATGTCTTGGTGACTTAAAAATGATCATTTGTTTTTCATAGCCCTAGATGTGTTTCCTCTTTCACAAACTGGTCTCGGAGGTTGTGGCTTCCTCCTGGGTCAAATCATCCTCTGTGCTGCATGAACTTTGCTCTTTCACCCCAAACTGAGAGCTGTCGTCATGGCAACTTGCAGCAGCCAATGGGCTTTCTCTTCCGCCATTTTCATTACTGCCTGGCAAATCCTGTGTCTCCTCACACTCTGGACTTTGACTCGCTGATGACGACGCCTCACATCCCATGATAGAATTCATGGGTGATCCATTCTTCCCCACTGCGTGCACGCGATGCATGTGACGTTTGAGGTTTTTGGCCAAGGTAAAAGACTCATTGCAGAGTTTACAGACATTATCGAAGGTCTTGTGGTGGACAGCAATCAAGTGCCGCCTCAGGTATTTTGCTGTGGTGAAACTTTCACTGCACAACTCACACCAATAATTATTAGACTGAAATGAAAGGACAGTTTATGAATTAAACATTACATAGACTTATATAACTTAAATTAACGTCATGCATGTTAAGACAGACAAAATATGCTTTGGATCCAGATTAACCTTGACTTTGGATTTCAGATCTGAACCAATTGGGGTGTAATCTGGTATTTGGATGCACGTAGTGATGAAACTATATATATTGTTGTATAGCAACATAATGCTCTTTGCATGACTTATAAGCAAATATAATGTGATGTGTAATATACAGAGCCATACCTGCTTGGTGAAGTGTGTCTGCATGTGTTATATACAGTGACATACCTGCTTGGTGAAGTGTGTCTGCATGTGTTATATACGGTGACATACCTGCTTGGTGAAGTGTGCCTGCATGTGTTCCTTCAGATGATTTCTCTTGGAGAATGTTTTCTCACACACAGAACAGCTGAAGTCTTTAGATGGTGCAGAGGCATTGGCTGCTGCCTTGTCGCTGTTGGAAGGAGTCTTGCAGTTTTCTTTTCCTAATTAGAAACAATTCCTTTAGTGATCAAATGTATATTACATTTAAAACTTACTGGGTTTCCACTCTTCCTCTTCAAAAAAGTAAATTACTTGAATAAAATTCAATAAAACAGAATCAATACTTCAGGTACTATGAAGGAGGTTTTTCAAAGTCCCTAGATGGAATGATACAACAGCATTATCTTTTAGTTAGACACTATATAACATGTGTTATTTAGTCTCTAAATAAAAGAATAATTCTACAATATCAATGTGTAATGTCTGTGCTACTTGAGAGCTCTCTAGTTTTACTTGGATCACTTCACTCCACTCACCAGAGCTATGAGTCCTCATGTGAGCCTGCAGCAGAGGCAGACTGGTAAAGTCTAGCTCACAATCTGGACAGTTATAGCTGCCCTGACCCTTGTCTGAGTTCACACTGGCGTGGGTGAGGATGAAGTGCTGCTGGAAGCTCAGGCTGTCTGGGAAGATCTGGATAGTATACAAATGATAATAATAACAACACAGCTTTTTTTTCTAGTAAAAAAATAAGAATAATACATTTAGTTTTATAGCTAGGAAAAGTGTGAAGTATTGTGATATTAACAGAGATTGCATTGTTATTGTCATTATTTTATCTGTATTTTTATTTTTCTAATAATGATTATGATTATTATTATTATTATTAAAAACCTGTCCCTAAATTTCACCTTTTTAAAAGTTTCAGGTAAAGTCAGGCAACAATTTTCAATCTTAAATTTAAAATAACTCCTAGGAGGAGCAAAAATCTGCACACCTGAAGTTGCCCTCATGGTTGAACAAAAAACCCACCTACCTGAGGGCACAGAGAACACTTGAATATCTCCCTCTTCTCATGCTGCTTTATATGGCTACTCAGGCTGCCAACATCAAGGAAAGTCTGGTAAATAAAGAACAGATTTCTATTACATACTTTCTAAATTTTATTTGTTCATTACATATATTTTATTTTACCAAAAACCTTTTGAATAATTGCAATAGGCTTCTTAGTTAAGCAGTCTAAGCTAAGCCCAAACCTTGAGACTTATAATGAAAACAGCATTCAACATTCAATTTCGAAGTTACAAATATCTCTACACCAAGTGCTCCCATACCAACCTTGTTGCAGTCAGGACAGTGAAACTCTGCCGCCACTGACTTCTGTTGCTGTGAGGGAGGTGCCAGGAGCACATGCTGGAGATTCTCATACCCAGTAGCCTGGAACGTGTCTCTCTCTGTCTCCTGGTCCTGTGTGTCCTGTGTGTTCCCTGCCTCGCCCCTCTCTCCATCCATCTTACCCACCAGCCCTCCACTAGCTAGCCCTTCACTGGGAGACGAACTAGACTGGTAGGCTACGAGGCCCTGCCTTCCTGATACAGGAGACGACCCCTCATCGGCTCGCACACCAGATCTACTTCTCCGCCTTTGCCCAGAGGAGGGGGACTTCAGCTCCTTGGCGTGTGTGTATAGATGATTCTGTAGCTCTCCACTAAAAAAGAATGACTGGCTGCACTGCGTGCATGCAAACTTCCTCAAGCTGTTCTCATGCTCCAGGACGTGGTTCTGAATGTCCACAGCCTGGTCGAAGGTCCGCTCACAGATATAACAGTGGTACCAGCCAGGCTCGTAGGAGTGTTCAATCAGGTGGCACTGGAGCTTGGCCGGGGATTCAAAGGCACGTCCACATAGTCTGCAGTCCAGTATTGTCCCCTCCTGCATCATATGCGTGGCCACGTGAACCTGGATCTCGTACTCTGTCGCAAACGACTGCTGACACTTTATGCACTGGTATGTCTTTTTGTTGTGTACAGTAGCATGGACGTCCAGTAACGCCTGAGACTCAAACTTGACACTGCACACTGGACACCTGTGCTCTTTCTTTACTTCTGCCTTCTGGTTGCCATAGTAACACAAGTTACACACGAAATATTCCCGTCCGCTGGAGTTCAACCTTGAGACTAGACTGTCCTTGGTTTCGTAGGTCTTCAGACAGGCACAACAGGTGTAGAACTGTGGCGACATCTTGCATGGGTCCACGTCCTGGTTGCCATGGTAACACTGCTTACATATGTGGTACTCCTTCCCACTGGCATTGAGCTTGCTGACCATGTTGTCAGTGTTGGAGAAGATCTTCAGGCACACTCGGCAGGTGTAGTGGGTGGGCTGGGGGCTGCCTGCTCCGTTGCCATGGTAACACATCTTACAGACATAATACTCCCTGCCGCTGCTGTTCACCTTGGTGATGAGGTTCTCCTTGGAGTCGTAGCTCTTCAGGCACACACAGCACGTGAACGTTGCCAGGGTTTCCCTGAAGTGATGCCTCGCATGCATCTGAAGTTCTACAACAGACGTCAAAGTCTGCCTGCACACAATACACTGCGTGCTGCCTCCCTTCACCCCATGGCTCTGGGTGTGGGAGTAGAAATGCTCCTCATTTCTCAGCATCAGCCTGCACACTGCACATGTGTTGGCCTGGCCCACCTTGCAGTGGCTCAACTTGTGCTCAGCCAGAATGTTGACACTGGGGAAGACTTCATCACACACCTTACACTTATGGCTGCTGGAGGTACCATGAGTCTTGGTATGTTTCTCCAGCTCAGACTTGGTCTTGAAGGTCTGATTGCAGTACACACAGCGATGGGAGTACTTCTCACTAGGAACCAGGCTGTTCTGTGAAGATGACACCGACGTTGCCATAGAACCAGCTGATGAGACAGACCCTTTCTGGTATTTCTCCATAGGAGCTTTGAGACTGTGTTTGTAGACATAATGGTTCTGAAAAGACAGGTCATTGCTGAACTTGGCATCGCACAGTTCACACTGGTAAATCTCCCTCATCCTGTTACTTGACCTTGACCTGTGACCTTGACCTCCTTGGTGGTGGTGGTGCTGGTGGTTGCTAAGTGACAGCTGCTGGTGAAGCTGCTGTACCAGCTGGGGACTGGGCAGAGCCATGACACTGTTGCTGAGATCAATCACATCTGAGTTGGAGTTGCTGTTCTCTTTCAGTTTGGGGGTTGGTGTTTGAGGAGGAGGAGGGGCAACTGGAGATGCCAGTTGGGGCGTGGGAGCCGCGGAGCTGGTGGAATCAGCATGTTTGTCCTGGATGTGTTTGTCCAGTAGGAACTCCACGTGGAAGGCCTCATTGCAGGCTGGACACATGAACTCCTTCTTGTGGCTAGTCAGGTGCATCTGGAGATCCAGTTCTGCTGAGAAACTGTCCTTACAAAAGAGGCACCTGTGGATGGTGGAGCAGAGATGTATGTAAAATATGTAAATCTAACAGGTTACTCAATGTCCATGTTTAAGGTTAAATTTTTTAATAAAAGGTCTGGAAGTATTGCTAGGTTTCTTTCATTACTAAAGCTTTGTTCGCTTTGTTGAATTTTTAAATAAAAGGTCTGGAAGTATTACTAGGTTTCTTTCATTACTAAAGCTTTGTTCGCTTTGTTGAATTTTTAAATAAAAGGTCTGGAAGTATTGCTAGGTTTCTTTTGTTTCTAAAGCTTTGTTCACACGGGTAACATGACAGTGGATATTTGTCTACACTACACTTACACAGAGGCGGATTTAGGCCGTCTTCTGGGTCTTCTGGAAGACGGTCAGATTTTCAAGTTTACATTGTCAGCCATCTAATGTTTTCTGTCGGAAGACGGTCAAAAATGGAGGATGGTAACAAAGATAATTTGGAAGACTGTCAGAAAATATCTCTGGATCCGCCCCTGCTTACACATACTAATTACCTTGGTAAAGGAGGAAATCTTAAGACTACTTATATGCCTCAAACAATATCCAGCAAGTATCTAACTTCTATACTCGTAAAAGGGAAGAAAATTCCCATCCCCTATAAAATGACCAAAATTAATATTCTGCAAAATGAAGGCATATGACATCCATGTTATGTGATTTAATTTGTCAATGCAGAATGAAAACAACTAAAAGTGTAACCTAGCTACTGGGTACCTCTCTTCAGTTTGTATGTATTTAAGTAAAGACCTAGTTCAATGATTACCTATAAGGCTTGGTGATGTGGAGATGGTTAACTTTGACATGGAGTTGCCACTCCATCTCTGACCTGAATATCGTGGTACAGGCAGTACACTGGTACAACTTACACTCATTACTGTGCTTGATGGCAAAGTGGACCTGGACATTCACCTAAAAGTGACAATAATGATCACATTAGCCTAATATTGCCCATAATGATAACATTAAACTGGACCTGGAAATTCACCTGAAAGTGACAATAATAATAATAGTTATACCTGAAAGTGCCCATAATGATAAACATGAACCTAATATTGCCTATAATGATAGTATTAACCTGAAAGCCCCCATGAAGAGAATCAAGTATGCTACACTGATAGTACCCATGCTAATTATCCTAGTACATTTATTTATCTCAATGTGCTTTTAAAAAACTTTCAATGTCCACATAAAAAGTTGATAGTGAAGCTCCTATTTACAATTAAGGCAGTTTTTTTAACTATAAGTAAAAATAATTTCAATGTGAAATATTTTCAAAAATGTCATGAATAATAAAATTATATTAAATTAAAAAACTTAAACATGATCCTATATCTTAATTGGGATTTTGAAATAAAAAACAGTTACGTCAGGCATAAATATAAGTAAATGAAAATACTGTAGTTGTTAAATTTATAAAAACATGTATACCACAAGAAACATAAAGTAAAATAAATAATTATGCTCAAGCTGTACACAAATTGAAGGATCACATAAATAGATTTAAAAGCTGTATGTCAGCAAAGTGGAGAAACATTACCTTGGAATCAAAGGTCTCCTTACACAGAGAGCACCTGTACAGGTGATGTGCATGGATATCCATCAGGTGTTTCTGCAGCTCATCAGGCTTGGAGAACAGCTTCAGGCAGCTAGTACAGCCAAACTCTGTGGTCAGGTTCAGGTAGTGGGACAGAGAGTGGGCCTCCAGCTGGTCCTCCGAGGTGAAGTCTGACCCACACTGGTGGCAGATATGCAGGTGGCCTCCCTGGGATCCCTTGTCCAGGTGGGTCTGCATGTGGCTGGCGTAGGCATCAAAGGTGTCGAAGGAAGACAGGCACTGGTCACAGATCAAGGCATCAGCGGAGGCGGTGGCATTGTTGGTGTTGGTAGGGGAGCGGGATGAGTTAGGGTGTGTGCCTGTTGAAGCACGACTTGTGTCATCAAATCGGTCACCATTTTTATCCTTCCGTGAGCTCTTTCCGCCAGATTTGCTGCCCTTCTGGTGGACATACTTGCTGATGTCTGGCACTTTTAAAGAGGACCCCCCACTGTGGATCTTCTGGACATGATCAGCCAGCGTGGCACTGTTAGGAAAACCAGCGTTACACTGCGAACAGAATGCACTCTCACTGTTATCTGGGAGAAAGTTGTGCACATTATTCATGTGATATTCCAGTGCTTCACTCCCAGTGAAATCCATGGTGCAGAACTCACAGGGGAAAATGGGTGTGGTTCGGCCATCATGTGACAGCTGTATGTGCTCATTTAGGACATAGGATGATGGGAAGACAGCTCCGCAGTAATGGCAGTCGTAGATCAAGGTCGGCTTACCCTCATGCATTGTGTGAATATGAATCTCCAGCACTTCCAAACTCGGGTACTTTTTGGAGCAGTACGGACAGGCGTTGTCCCCACCACTCTTCTCAGTGACACTCAAATTCACTGATTTTGGTGTCAACCTGGGCCTCTTGGAGCTAGGAGCATCGTCAGAGATGCTGGGTGAGGTCATGACAGCATGACCCTTGATGTGAGTGCACAGGGCATCTGAGGAGTCGAAGGCTTCCTTGCAGACAGGGCAGACATGTTTGTCAGGGCTCTTCTCTGAGTGTGCCTTGATCAGGTGTCTCTCCAAGTCGTTCCAAGTAGCAAAAGAATCCTTACACCGACTGCAGTGTAGTATCTCTGCCACCTGAGAAAATCAAAATAAAAATCAATCAAAGCTTTATAAATAAATAAATGAATAAATTAAAGAAGTTAAAAAAATAAATAATGGCAGTAAACCAAAATTTATCTGAAATTTGCCAGTTTTATGTTGGACTTGAACTGCAGTGCAATATCTCTGCCACCTGACAACATCAAAATGAAAATGAAACAAAGCTAATAAATAACAAATAAATAAATAATAAATAACAAAAATACATCTGAATTCCCCAGCTGTACACTGGACTGGTACGTAGGAGACCCACCTTGTCATGGTCCTTGTTATTCTGCAGGTGCTCCTCATCCACAGTAAACCCATCCTCAGACTGGCTGGTCTTGATGTGGCTGATCATGTGTGATGTGAGCGCAGCAGGAGTGGTGTATCCTCGATTGCACTCCACACACTGGTAAGGCTTGGCTGTGTCGTGGGTCTTCATATGAATCTTCAGGTGGTCACTCCTGTGGAATAAAAAAACACATCAGGTCAAACCATATTAGGCCTTTATAAATAGGAAACAAATCTCTCTCACACAGAAATGAATCTTAGCTACCTTAGTTGCATTTCACTAAGATTCCAAGAGACTGCTTAACCAGTGTTTTCTGCCTTAATTAAGCCCAAATAGCGGATTGCAATTATTCTAATGCTCTCAGAAGTGACAATTTACTCCATTTAGTTCTGTCAGCTATATCTCCATTGTAGGCCATCATTCACAAAGCACTATTAGACTTAGTATACCAAAAAGTCGAATACAGGCGTTCACCTATCCAAGTATAGCAGTCTTAGCCAAGTTCCAAAACTTTAACTTTTTGTAAAACACCCCTACCTTGAGAATGCAGAGTCACAGTGCAGACACTTGTACTTCTTGTCCCCAGTGTGCAGTTTCACATGCCTGTCCCTGCTACGCTTGTGTTTGAACAATCTCTGGCAGAAATCACACCTGTATGGCATCTGGTCACCATGGACCTGGAAAGGTTGAAAAATAATTTTTGTGAAAACCAGCAAACAATTATGTCATCTGTGTCTGAAAGTTATGAAAATAGTTTCTTCAAACTAGAGGTAAACCAGTTATTTCCACCACAACATTTCCCGTTGAAGGTATCTTACTTGAGACTGATATATTTGGGTGGAAATGACAAGTTAAGCTTTTGTGTTTGTGATTGGTGCCACATACTTCAATGAAAGGCAGCTGAAGTTCAGACCAGCTGGCATGGAAATCTCAAAATGAAGAACCTGGTCTGAATTGGTTCTAAAACTCAAGCTATATTCAACAAGTGGTGAAGACATAAAATGAGCTACCAATGTTGGCAGCATAAAGTGATGTACATGTACATGTATACACACATAATAAGTCCAATGCACCACCATAAAATCACAAACATATTGTGTATTGATGACTTGCCCATAGTGTTGCATGCTCTAACTACCAATCATCTGGAAACTGTTCAGACAGTTGCATGACCTTCAGCCCTTTCCCATTGTTAATGGGTTTAGAATCAATAACCTTGCTGTTGTTTTTACATAATCTTTGTTATGTCTACCAGAGTTCTCCATTGGCCCGATGGGTTTTCATCTCAAGGGACGAGGTGTCTGATGCACTGTATATCTGACATTATGGCATGCACGTACCTAAAGTTGTTAGACAAATTTAGTTTTCTGTAAATTAACACCCAAAAGTGACACTGGTTGGTGATTGGCATTAATGGGTGTCGCAAACAAGGACAGATTTTGTATGTTGTCAACAAATTACCAAAAGCATTAGAATCATGTTAAAAAATGACTTCCTTTTTTAACTTATCTTACATGCCATGAAGTCTCTTAACATTATTTTACTTCCTTATTGCTTGTTCTATGCCACTATGAGCTTTTTATATGTTATGAGCCTAGATTGCCTGCCTTTCAAAACTTATTAAAGGTTAAATTTCAGGACAATTTCGTAAAGAACCTTACAGCTCAAAAACTGATCTGGCCTGAAATTGAAATTTTGGTTTGTCTCAGCACAAGGCAAACCCCATAATATTGGTCTCAAATGAAATTAATTTGTGTCTTTCTTGATAAAAATGAAACAAACACAAAATTTCATTTAATAGGACTATTACTCACTCATTTAGGGACAAAGCACACAAAAATCTTGACCTAAAAGTTTAGACTAATTTTCAGGCACAATTTCTTTCGTTAAACTGTCCCAAAACCCCTGATCAGCAGGGGAGATGGAGAGTCTCAAGGCACACTGAACCAGAATTCCCACTCAGGATTTTAAAAAAAATTTCCTCAGTTTACTTCCCACTTACACCAGAGACACAGCAGAAAATTTTTCCATATTGAAGTTCAGTGGAAAAGTTGATTGGAAACGGTCTCCAGGTCTCCCATGTATTGGGCTCTTCCATGTCATCCATCTCCAGCTGTCTGGCAGATAATCCTACGGGGAGTCCGATGATAAAGCCTTTTACATGTACAAAATATATACATACCCCGGTATATGGAAAGAAGAAGGGCTGGATGGACTAACTCTAGGGTAGATTTTCTTTTAAGAAAGTGTAAAATTGAACTTAATCAATGATAAATTTGAACAGTGAAAATTTTCCATTTTCCTTAGGAAAATAATTTTACATGGGTGAAATATTTCTGGGTTATGCCTGATTTTAGGATTTTCAGTCTTCATTTTGGTCATTTTGTCACATAGTCTTAATGTGATGAAAATGCAAGCTACATTTTTAGGATTTTCACTTTTTACAACTTCCACCCATGATCATATATTTAGCACTGGGGTTAAATTCTCATGTAAACAGAAGCTTTGATGGAGTGACAGAGAGACCTAAAAAGGCTACTTTTATAATTGGAGACCACAGTGGACTGTTGAGCCATTTACATTTTGTTATAAAATGTTTCCATAACAAATGGACAAAAATTGCTAATTTAATTCCCAACCACTGGAGGTTTCCCAGGGATGGAGGAACTGGAGTGTTTTTGGTTTGTGCAATGAACTACGTATGAACAATCTTTGAGATTACTTTAAATATATACCTATAGAAATAAATAAATAAATATAATTTAACAGACTTATTCAATCCAAAGGTAGAGCAAGATGTATCACAATAATTTACAAATGTAATCAAAGATATGAGATACTTCACAAAAAAAAAAAAAAAAAAAAAAAAAAAAAAAAAAAAAAAAAAAAAAAAAAAACTGACGGAGGGTGACAGGGGCATATTTTACCTGATAGACAGATTTTTGTGTGCTTTGTCCTTAAATGAGTGAGTAATAGTACTATCTGATAATCTGATTCAACCACACATGTGGAAAAAGACAACCTAAACCTGATTGGACCATATATATATATATATATATATATATATATATATATATATATATATATATATATATATATATATATATATATATATATATATAGACAAGTGACTGACTTTTAAAAAAACATCTGAAATATATTTCTGAGAAAGCCAACAAACGTGTACTCCACAATGTCTGAAGAAACTTACGCCTGATTTTAGATCTCAGGCACAGAAAAATGAAAAAAAAAAGAAGAAAACTGGTAATCCTACCACCCCTATTTCACCCAAAAAAGTCGTGCTACTACCTAACCCTTTATTTCAACAGAAAAGTGGAGAAAGTACAAGAACAAGAGGAAAACCCCAATACCTGAAACCGATATCTGAATTCACCAAATGCACAAATTAAAGGACATTTTCATTAATTAATTCATATTATACAAAAGACATCCAGGGATGTGAACTACATGTTCGTAGCTTTAATTTCAGGAAGTAGACAGCATTCTTCTAGTTCAGTAATTACTGGGGAGATTGTATAATGGGGGAGTAATAATCAAACTGCCTACATCTTTAAAGGTAATCTGCACTTGATTTTCTGCCCAAAACAAATTTTAATTCTCACATGCACTTGAATTTGTGAGATGTAACAGCTACCACCTTGCTCACTGAGAAGGCTGAGAAAGTAACAACATCAGGTACAGTAGGCTTCAGATAAACTTTCCTTTAAGGGGTTTTACCTTTAATTTCTGAATTGTCAGAGATAAAAGTTTTGCAGGATAAAAATGACTATGAAGCATATTCAAACAAATGCAGAATATCTTCAAGTACTAAAATATATATCTTTTTTCATTGAAACTGATATGGGGGACAGTCTGAGATCTGTTCCAGCATATACCTGCTCATGTTTCTTCAGATGGCTAAGACGTCCAAATGCCTTGTCACAGAACTGGCAGGCGTAGGGTGTGGTCTCTGTTACACCAAGGGTGTACGGTAGCTGGAATAGCAAGATTTCAAGTTATAGAATGGTGTATGTTTAAAGCAAATAAAAATAATATTCTATAGATACAGTGCAAGAAATGAATAAACTAAGAAAAACTGGAAAATAAAGACATGAAGTTAAAGAATACTTTAAGTGCCAAAAAATTTAATTATTAAGACATGCATGCACACATGTACATAAATGTAAACTAGGAAGGTGCACACATATTTTTCACTGAGCTAATATTATTTCTATTGTTTTAGGTGTTAATGTTCAATGTAAACTTTAATCTGATTCAACCACACACATGGAAAAAGACAACCTAAACCTGATTGGACCATATATAAGTCACCTGATCCTCTGGTATTCCAAGACAGGCTTCACCTGCAGTTGTCGGACTTTTGCTACCGTCCACGTCGTGTGGTGACATCACAGGGGAGTTGCTACCACTGGTCTCACTGTAGGGGCTACTGTCTATACAGGTGCCTGGGAATAAAAATCACTTAAATAAATAACAGATCTGTTTTAAGTGTTTGTTTAACAAACCCTTCCATGTTTCTAATAAAATTGTACAAAAGGGATCCCTCTCTCTCTCTCTCTCTCACACACACACACACACACACACACACACACACACACACACACACACACACACAAACACACACATGCATATTTAGTGACCATATCAAGTAGAATATCAAATAATTCATGAAAATATCACACTGTAGTTTGGGATTGTTATGTGGGTGGGTGCCTGGATTAAAGAAAATCTATAAGATATGTATGGAGTGATGGTCAAAACAAATTTTTTCCTCCATAAACACATTTAATTTTATTTTTCTACTGTCATGTTAGTCTTTATGTTTTTATATATGTGATTACTTTTTCCATGGGCTATATCTGTTCAACAATGGATCCTGATCTGTTGTATAATCTGTCAGTTCAAAGTTCTCGATCCATACGTCATACTAAATCATAACAACAGCTTATCATGTATTTCAGACAGTTGTATATTCAGTGTAGTTTGAAACTGTGACATAGCTGTAAAGAGTTGGATTTGTAATGAAGCTTTCAAATATATTATATATAATAACTGGTGATGGCACAGACTTGCTTAGTTCCACACATACTAATTGAAACATAAATTGATTTAAAAAACAGAAAAAAATATTTTGTAGACAACAAGCTTGTATTAATCTATAAGAAGAGATGAGTGGATTGATTCAAACAGAGATTTACTGCTACAGCAGTGAGGTGTCAACTTGTGCATATGGGTATATGTGTTCATCAAAGTAAATCTTGTTTTATTTTAAAATCAAACTTAGTTTTACAAATTGTCAATGCAAACAGCTCAACTCAGTAACACCAGTAATGACAAAGGTACAAATCAGTAACAATCCAATTTACTGTCCTAGTATTTCAAGTGAACAGCTTCAACTGCATTAGGTCATGTATCATCTGTATCCAGTCACTGGAGGTATATCAATTATAGCTAAGTAGAAAGGTCTGTCATTATGCTGTGTGAAGACAAAATCAGATCTAACCCGGATCAAGTCACTCCTTACACTGAAATTATCTCATGAACAAATACTCTTGCTCCTTCAAGAGTAGAAACATAATTCAATTAACCATTTTCTTTCGAAATTAACCTCAGCTGAAGTCGGGAATGTCTCTGAAGTTCACTAAAATGCTCGGACAACTTGTACAGCTCACTGGGTTATATCAAAGGTCATCCTTATTTTTTTCCTTGATCTTAATGTCCCCGAACACTGTAGCAATTAGAGTCCCAAGTATATAATTCCTCATCAAAGTGGCCGTGCTTTCTCAATACATCTGTGTTGATTTGCTGTGAAAATTTCCTCCTGCTCATTCCGATTCCCCACTGACTAATAATATCTCTTCCTCGCTATTGAAGTTAATGGCATTTGGTCAGATCGTGGGTCCACAGGGCTTCTGCTATTTTTTATTCCTCGTTTATTCATCAGCTTGTCAGCCCCCACGGGAGCCTTCTATGGAATGTTTCAGGGATTCTGATAGTTGGGTTAATTATTCCAACCCCCCGTTGCCCTGGCTTATTAATGCCGCCGCATTGCTCTACCTGGAGAAGTGAACGTTTCAATACCAAAATGGAATCCTTAGGGTGCTCGCAGCTACATTACAATCCACTCGAGACGCGGGTGAAATTTCTCATTAATCAGGCAAAAAGTGACTTAGGCGCTCAGAGGAAGTCTGGAAGTTCGAGTTGACAATTCTTCTGGGAGTGGAAAGTCAAGAGGGTTACCAGGCGCAATTTGAAGGGTGCGATTTCTATTTTGTAATCTAACGAGAGAGAG